ATAGAGCATAGAGCCGCGTGTCATTCAGCATCAGGGAGTTAGATGAAGAAAAGAAGAAAGGGAGGAGAAGGAAAAAAGAGAGCGTGATTTCATAATGTCTAAAAGAAAGATCTGGGTTGAATAAGTGGGTCCACCCACCTGTGTGTGAGAGGCAGTGAGAGAGAAAGCAGGGCTGGATGGCAGTTTTAGAGACATGAGTGTGTGGGTTAGGCTAGCTGGCCTGCTTATGCTATCTAATCACTGGGAGAGAAAGGAGAGCAACATGCCTTGATCCACCCACCTACCCCAGACAAACAGCAGTTAGCCTGCTAAGTACTATATGTAGTCGCCTGCAGCTCGAGGTGCTTCACTGGGAGATAAAATGTGACAGAGTTTGCAGGTAACACACACACACAGAACAATTATGCCTCACTCTGTGCTTGGGAGAAACAGAGATGTGTCAGTCTAGAGGCCACTGTGGTTCACAACTTCGTAAGAGAGAGCGTTTGAGTTTAAGCTGCCAAACACACAAACACGCAGGTTTCAGGTCGAAATAACTCTAATGAGACATCGCTCACTGTCTTTTGTTTTCTAACCAGATTAGTCAAATTAATTTTAACCCCGTCCACGCAGATTTCAACGTTCTTTATCTCAGAATATTTGCTTTCCGTGTGTGGATCATTTTATAAGTTCTGCTTGTGTTTTGTCACAGATTAGTTACCTGCTGTGATACCTGAGTGGGTGGGATGAAATTGGGTTCGCCTCCAAAAATAGCTGACCTGCGCATCGGGCTTGTGTATTTTGCCAGTGTGCATGCGGTTCACAGCGGTCCGCCACCTCGTGCATGTGTGTGTGTGCATGTGTGTGTGTTCCATGACAGGCATCTGTCTCCCCTGCCCTGCAGCCTGACTGGTTTTAATTAGGAGGTGCCAGAGTGCCCGAGGGCTCTCTTGCTGACACACACACGTACACATGCTCTCTCTCTCACACTCGCACACACACACACACAAACATGCGTACAGCATACACACAATACCTGAGGGCAGACAGAGGCTGTCCCACCAAGGCTGGCCTCCTTCTCGTTATCACCGTAAGGAGTTGTCTTCATTCACCTGACGACCCTCGCGAAACACGCACGTACACAACGCTCACACAAAAATACAGACACCAAACCAATCCAGCAAACACAACAAAACCCATTCTGAAGTCAAATTGCGCTAGCGGGGCCATGACTCTTTGTACATTGTGTTGGGATTATTACGCCTTGAATACATTCTTCTCAAAAAAGCGGCCTCAAACATGACGAATGATCAAATTTACCTTTAAGAAAACACTCAGCGGATTCATACAAAGGAGTGCAGCCAACTGTGTGAGACTTTCACTGAGTACTTGCAGTTCTTTACCTCCCTTCTGGCAAAGCTTCCCATATTTATTAGGCTGTTTGAAAAGAAGGCCCAATGGGAGAAAGTTAAAGCCCAAAACAGACAGGTCAGCAGACAGGAAACGCCCTCGTCTCACTCACCCAAATGGCATGCTCCAAGGTGAGTTCTAATGACCTCAGTGCAATGACAGATGGGTGTGTATCTCTGTGAATGTTCGTCTGCGTGTGCGTGAGGCAGAGCTTGCAGTGGGTTTGAACACATTCAACCCTCCCTTTGTGTTTAATCAACATTGCATCTCCAAGTGCCTGGCTGTCCTTGGCACTTGAGGCAAGGGATGTTAGACCTGGGAGGCTGCTGCGATGCCCTATCTCTGGATGGAAGAGGAGTGGGGGTAGTGAATGCCTCCCTTTCCTGCTTCTCTCCCACACCAGGCCACACCTGGCTTCAGAGTCAAAGTATGAGTTTGGCCGGTCGTGTTTGTCTGCCTCTACAGTTTTTATTAATCCTGGGAAGGTCAGCTGAGCTTGTCCCTGAACTGTTTTAGCACGCTCGTGGGCTATGTGTATACTGCTGCATTTTAACACTGATTCTTAGCAGTTATAAGTACTTCTTGAAAAGAAAGAATCCAGAACTGCTTTACAGACCCCCTTCAGGTCAGAGTTCACATTTATCCCATCAGAAAGTGGTCGGTCACTTTTGTGGAGGTGAAATCTATATTTATGCAGCTACTTTAGTCAGTTTGGCATATTCGCAACTTGATGAAACAATATGAATGTCTTTTGGGAACACTTAAGAAAAAGTGATTCCAGCAGACATTCAGAACCAAAGTGCGTCCATAAGACGGCCTCAACTCTCCAGGCATCCTTGTAATACCTCTTTGCAGATAGTTTGAGAAGCGTCTACCTAAACGCTAGGTGGCGGAGGCAGGGCCCTGTTTGCCAAACAAGGCGAACTAAAAAGCAGCAGTCTAGGATCACACTATTTCATACCAGTGGCACATGTAAAAATTCACTCTGTGATACGTGGCTGCTGTGCTGCTACGAGACCATCTGAGATGCTGATGAGATCCTCTCAGACGTGCCAAAAAGAGCCAATTTTAGTATTAAGAATCGGACTGCCGTGTTTATGGTCTGCACAGAAGGCCAAGCTGAGTATAGCACCAAAGTTTTCATGATATCAACTTTATGTAATGATGCTTCACACCCCATCCCCCATCCCCCATCCAAAGTGCCAATCTGGTGCCCTTGTGTGTGTATCTTGCTGGGAGCAGCAGGTGGCAGTAAACAGGTACACTGACACACCAGTCAGAGAGACAGACAGACAAAACAGATGACTCTTACTCAGCCCTCATGACTGTGAGCGCGCACAGAGCAGGCGGCAAGATCCACCGCTTTTTCCTGGAGAAAGGGGAGGAGGAATGAGTTGTTAGCTTAGAGAAACACAAAAGACTGAGAGACACAGAAAAAACTTTTGATTGTTATTTGCACAGCAGTTAAAAATAGCTTATGTTATTTTGTGATTAAGCCAATTAAACTCATCGCTGCATATGGGATGAAGATGCACTTTTTTTGGCCTTAATGCACATTTCTCACCAGATTTTCTGATTTAAGTCATATAACATGTTCAGGTTGACCTGAAAAGAAAGAAAGGCAGAGCTGAGATTGTACGAGCAGTTTTAAAGGCCTTTAAATTAAGCTGCGTATTAATTTGCCATAGACGTTTGTGAAGTTTTGTCACCAAACACAGAGCTGCATGGCAAATCTGTGTTTAACAAATTGCATGTCAGCGCCACGAGATGACTGTTTTCAATCTGCAGTTCAAAAGCCTGCACTTCTTTTTTTGTGCTTTTTTTTCTTCCGAGTTTAGAACAAAGCAATACGCACAGGTACCACTTACAGAGCGCTGCTGTGACGGCAGCAGGCGTGTTTAGAACAGATAGTCGAACTTTTTAGGAAGACAAACGCTGTTTTTCTGGCCGTCTGGCTGGGCTGCTAGCAGTTAGTGGCTTACCCTGTTTATATATACTAGATGCCAATGCGAACTGGCCTGGGCTCTCACCCTGTACAAAACAGTGTAAACCACCGTGGGCATGGGCTGCGGTTTGCTTTGGTCCATTTTTTCCCCAAGTGGAAGTGGGCATAGCATAGTCTGATGTACGCTCTGATGTGTACTTGTTTGTGGAGGTTAACTCAACACAATTTGACTCCTTTCACTGTCTGATTGTCGGTTATGATATACGGTCGGTCAGAAATATTTTAGTAGATTTGAAGGTCCAGCAGCCACCAGGAAAACAATGGCTCGCTGCGTGCTCTACCATCGTGGACGAACATCTGCTCGGATCTCGCTTGCTGCCTTTAAACAGCAAGACTGCCGCTCTCTCTCTCATATTGCTTAGGCGGTAAAACTTATACGAATAAAAACAGTGAAGTATGACAAAGGGTGTGGTTTAATGATGTCACACAGGAAAACCCAATGGCTTTTTCGACACTGTGAATGTGCTTTGTCATAACATTTGGCTTGTGCGCGCGTGTGTGAAAGCAAAGGCAAAGGAAACACTTGTTCTCCCTTTTTCTTTCCCTCCGTCTTGCCATCACAAACATCTGACTCAACACAGAAAGGAGCTTAACAGGCAATCTCGTCTTGAAGTTTAACGTCTCCTCAAAACTTCTGCCGAACCGAGTTTCCTCCTCTGTGCTCGAGCCTTTACAGAATGGCTTATTTCTACACCTTTTTCTGCATGAACTTCCTCCTCCTCTCCACAGACTGAGGTGGTGGTGCTCGCCAACTGTTACCCTGCCTCGGCGCTTTCTGACTCAAAACAGGACTCTAACGTTGGCCGTCTGCTCTTCACGGCCGGGTTTCTGAAACTTAGTTGAAACAACGGTTCAACAAAGCGAGAAAGAGAGAGAGAGAGAGAAAAAAATAAAAGGTCTGTAAACAGACGCTTGTGGTATTTTTTTTCTTTTGTCGCGTTTGTGGTCTAATTCTGTCTCAGATACAGACAGCTTTTAAATAATACAGCCTTTCAAATTAACGCCACTGACTGAATCAGCTAGTTTAACGGGGTTATGCAGAAGTCTCTCAGGTCAAAATAGGTTGATTTATTAGGTTCTTTTTCCAGAAACTAGTCAGTTCTTGCTATCAGTATTTCTCTAAGGTGGGGTCAGTGTGTGGCTTCCTGTGGAAATCGCTTTAGATTTATTTCAAGTTTCATTTTTAATAGAATAGAAAAGAGCAGGTGTGGGAATAAAACTAACCTGATTTAAGTTCCACTTGCATTTCTGCTTCTCCTCATCTCAGTCTGAGACTCACCAACAGAGGTGCACAAAACGCTTTCCCAACTTTTCTCTCTGTCTCTCGCTCCCTCTCTTTCTCCTTTCCATTTTTACCCTCCCTCAGTCTCCCCAAACAACCCCTTCGGGTTTCTTTTGCCCCGGTCCCTTTCTACCAAAATCCACTCTAACACAACTAAAAATTCATTTTGTCTGACCTAAATCAGAGGGTGTCTGCGCCATGGGCTTATTACACACTGCGCTTAAACTTGTGTTGTGGAGGAGGATGGGGTATTATTATCTTCCAGCTACCCACCCTGCTATAAAAACTAGTGGTGCGACATCTCCACAGCGCAGAGCTGCTGCCCTCCCTCCCTTCTTCCTCTCACTCTCTCGCTCGTCCTACATGAGCCACACACAACAGTGAGCCTGCCTGACTCTAAACTCCACACCAGCCACTCGGCTACACAGACAAACCCAAGAATCGCTCTCTGCTCTCCTCTGCTGCGCTGCTTTGCTTCCCTTCATTGGATATTTTTCCTTCCTGGGGTGTTTTTTTTTTTTTTTTTGTGAATGGGTATCTGAATCTAGTGTGAGGAGCTTGTGAATGGACTGACTGACAGACGGGCAAAGAGCGAGGCAGCTGTGTTTCAATTAAAGAGAGCTATGCTGAGAGGTCAAGTGAGGAGCAGCGGAGCTTCTTAGTAGTCTGGAAATACAAAGACACGTGAGAGGAATTGAGAAAGAGAAGGTACGGTAGGTGATGCCTGCTGAAATCTGTGGAATGCTGGGGGAACGTATCAAGACATGTGCAAATTTATTTGGATGTCAGACTTGTGGAACATCCACATGGGTGTGTGTGTGTGTGTAATCATTTCTGAGTATTACAGAGGATGTGTGTGTGTGTGTGTGTGTGCGCCTGTGTGAATCAGCTTGCACTTTTGGGTTGTGTGCATCACTTCAAATGAGCGCTTTAGACCATAAAGGCCCGAAAAGGTGCAAACAGGTCAATAAAACCACTTAACGACTCGTGTCATTATTCGGGCTGTGCAGTGTAAACACTGTGCCGTAAAGATGCTGGAAATAGCGCAGGCATTTATAGCATCACAACACATCTTGGAAATGCCAAACATAGTAGTTTCGGTGGACTTAAGTGCGTGTTTTGTCTCCAAAAGTAATTACACATTACAGTTTCTGTATCTATATGACACTCTCCGTTAAATCCACAAATACTCAGGTAATTTTTTTAAAAAGCAGGGAGGGGGCATGTTTTAGAGCACAGACAAAATAGACAAAAAAAAACATGTTATGGATTTGAGGCTGAGCTGTAAATGATTGTTTACAGCAAGTCAGCTTATAAGACCTCTTAGCTCATAAAGTTACAAAAAGCAGTGACCCGTAGTGCTCTTGTAACTGTTTACTCGCCGCTGTTTTTAAAGTTTCTGGTCTTCTTTTTTTATTCTACATCAAATTCTTTGTTGGAGCCAACTGAACAGAACAAAATGTAAATACAGTTGCCTACAACCAGCACATTTTAGAAAGCATTATTCAGCGGCATACAGAGATGCAAAACAAGGCTGTGCTGTAATGCTGACGTGCTGGTGGTAAACTACATGCAGTTACACACTATGTTAAAAGTCTGCTTAATGATTTATTAATCATATCTCAATTAATCCAATCAGTTTTTAAGCTTTACCTGCCAGCGTGTAGCTTAGTAAAGACACTCAATATTATCCTGTTTAAATGTAAAGTTTAAACAGCCTGACTTTTAAAAATACAAATAAATGTGAATAACTGCAAACTGGAAAACTGAAACAACTTTTTTTTTTAAAAATGCTGTAATGATCATTTTATACTGTACCATCCTTACTTGTGGTTTGGGTTTTAACTTCCTCTGCTCATTTTTGGGGGTCTTTCCTCAGGCCAAACTGAAGAAAGTATCAGATGAGATTTAGAAACTGTCCATTATTTCAAACTGAATATGTGTGATTGAAAATCTTTCTTGTTTTATTGGCAATAAAGTAAACTTTTGGGGTGACTGAGACGGAGGCGGGTAACTGTGGGCCCCCCTGAAAGGCTCGAGAGATGACATTTAGCGCAAAGAGGCGCTTTAAGGAGCCGTGCGATTTGAACTGACCTTGGATCAGGTCCAGTGTTAACTTTAAATGAATCATTCATTTTTAATCAGTCAAGGCTGAGCGCTAGCCAAAGGTACAAATAACTGCAGGCTTTCTGAATTAATTAAGTGAGCAATGCAGTATAACATTGTATTTAATGGCACTTTATGCATTTGACTGTGAATCTGTAGTTTGAAGTTACTTTGAAGTGCACAGCTTCAAAAGTTTATTTGTTCAGTTGGGTTTTTTTTAACCTAAATGCTAACAATACTTAAAAAAAACCTCTGTGCTTTTGTTAAAACACACGAACACTAATTCCTAAAGCACTGACTGTTCCAAATAAGCAGCGGTTTCTGTTTAAATACTCGGATTTTGACCCTGACATTTCACCATTACTGCAAAGAGAAAATAAAGCCCCAGTCATGAAGTTTAACTGGCATTGTGTCCTCCTTCCTCACCTTCTCTAATTGACAGCAATTAAGATAAAATATAAAAATCTCCCCCCCTTCATGCGGCCTAGAGGCTCAAAACTAACACTAACCATGGAAGTGTCTGCTCGAGGTGCACTGCTGTTTCACTGGCGATAATGGACTAGTTTACACAGCAGGTCAAATGAATGTCTTCCCTTAATAAGGGGGGTGAATTTTGGCTGTCAATACTGTAAATTATTGGCTGTGCAATTGTCCACCTGTGACAGTTGTTTCACAGGTGTTTGCTATGGGCAGTCGGTGACAGGGGTAAACTCTGGCGGCTGGTGATTTAGCATGGGGGTCAGGTGGATGAACGGGCCTGACAGGAATAAACTAGGCACTGGGTGTTGGAGCGCACAGGCCAAATGAGCGTCTGCCCGTCACAAGGCTTGAGATGGACATTAGCTGGTGATTTGTGGCCTGAGCGGTCAGGTTTGGGGACAAGTTAGCCACTCTACTCTAGGCATAATGATGATACAGCTGCAACACGGACAGAGCGAGGTGGAGGAAGAGAAGGAGGAGGAGGTGAGGAGGAAGAGGAAGCAGAGGAGAATCATTAGGAGGAGGTGGCGCTGGTGGTCAGTGCCCGGAGAGCAGATGAAGTTCTCGGGAGAAAGACGACACTGGATGGAGGTGACACATAATTTGGGGCGGGAGTGCTGAGTTGAAAGTGTTGGTGACTAAGTGAGGCATGAGAGGAGATGCTGGCCAGTACAGGAAGGCAGAAAGAGAGGGAGACGGAAAAGCCTTTATTAGAGGTCAGCTTAGTAAATGAGTTGAACTCGTGTGAACTTTTTTTCCCCACACTTGGAACTTCTTCCTTTAAAGCGGTGATGCGATTGTGACAGGTGCTAAAAGTTTTAATCAAAAACAACAAATTTTGTTTGTTTTTTGTTTTTTAATGCACTAAAAAAATCCAGCCATCTCATTATGGCAGGTTGTTAAACCTGACGACTACTTACCGAGTTGAGCTTTATTGCTAATAACTTGAAGTTGGTTTGAAAAGGGGACAGAAGGCGAGTCACTTTGTGCCCTTTCGCAAGGCGTCGCCGCCCTCGCTCCCCTTGATGGGTGGGTGGGGTGTTGCGTGTGCGTCTAAAGGGCTAAGACTTGTTTGGCTGATGAAATGTCGCTCCAGGACCTTGTGGTGGGAAAGCGGTGCCCTCCTCCCCTCCCTGTCTATGTGGCACATCCTCCTTAGATCCTCTCCACATTGTAATTAGGGGCCGGCCGCTAAGAGCTAGTGCTAGCTAGTGGCAGGCAAACAGTGGGAACGGGGAGGGGAGTGGCACTCGTCGGTTCAGTGGGTGAACAAACAGCAACAGCAGCACGTGTCCCATAGTTCCAGGAGTGGGTGGGATGGGTCGAGAGCAAAAAAAGAAAAGGAGAAGAAAAAAAAAACGAATGCGAGACAGTGAGTTCGCCAGGCCCTCCCAGTCGTTTTCTCCTGCTCTTATCCACTCAGTGTTGTTCCAAGCTCTGCACTATTGTTTGCCTTGGCAGGCTGTCGCAGGGAGGGGCCCCTCCGCTGGTGTTTGTGCAACCTGTTAGGGAACTTTTAGGGCCATCTGATCTCTCCCTGCTGGAGATTCTCTCACCTTTTTGCCCAGGCCAGGTTATTACTTTTAGGGAGGTTGTGCACATGGCGTGGGAATACAATAAAAAAAAAAACTTCTATTCCTTGTAAAAGTGTAAAGTTGTGGTGTGAGCTGCATACATCCTCATCATCATTTCCATTTTGCAAATCGCCAATCAAACAGCTCTGCCCCCCCAGCTCACTGTAACTTTCACTGTCGCATCGAGGCCGGCGTGCGTGCCTGCGGACATATATCCTACACTGCCACCTCCTCTATAGACATTTTAATTATGTCCACACTGTATCAATGGCACGAACATGGCAACAGTTCCCTAGCAACAAGATCGACAAGAATAAACTACATGTAAGATTGGTAAGGTACCTGAATTGTACACCTGCAGGTGAACTTGGGGATTTTTTCTGAAATAGTTTTTTTTTCTCCTTGTTTTTCCTTTTTTTTTTTTTTACTTCTGGCGTGATTCACTGCAGGAAGCTCAAGAAAGTGAGACACTTGGGTCTGTATGTGTGTGTGTGTGTGGCTTCAGAGCTGGCCCATTTCGGTTCAGTCAACAATGCAGCTGTGGTGTGTGGGGCTGCTTCAAAGTATTTATCTACACATGCCTCCAGTGACCACCAAGTGCGGATGGCTAAGTTTGAGCTCTATTCATAGATGTGAATGAATGAGCACCCTGCCAGCGGAGGTTTGATCACTAGAACTGTAAACAACAGTACAGTGAATCAACAGGTGGGAGCTCAGGCAGCTGTGGAGTGGAAAATGTGAAGAAACAGAGCAGACCGAGAAGAGATTCATCTGTGCGTTTAGACAATAACGTGCTATATATCAGGCTTTTCAGGCACCGCGTTATAAGTGAAATGAGTGAGGATAGACTGCAAGTAAGCATTTTGACAGGATACAGTATCTAGAGTACAATCTGACCTCTTTTGTCGTTTTCTCCACTTCTCACCACATCCCAGTCGCTCTCACACACACACACACACACACACACACACACACACACACACACACACACACACACACACTGTATTGTTCCGATGAACGTATCGGCTTGCCTCTTTTTCATATCTGATAGACGCAGACAAGAGGGATGGACGTTATAAGCGCTATCACAGAACGTCTCTCACACACTTTATCACACCACCCAGTTTCGAATTGAAAAGTAAGAAGTATGAAAGAAAAAAAATCAAGAACCGCTTTAGGACTTATTAAAATGATGGGCTTCCCTAACTCACACACTTGCAACAAGAAATGATGATAACACATTCAAGAATAAATATTACCCAACGTGATGTTTGCTCGAAATGAGACATGCTGTATTTACCACTTGTTGCTTTTGCTGCACAGATGGCACGCAAACAAGCATGCCTACAGTATATTTTAATAAAGTTAGACTGTCACTCATTGTGTTAACACTATCGGCCTCGGCGGAGAGACTCCCCTTATTCGCATATGAAAGCTTTTTTTGAAAGCCTTCACCCCATGAATGGACGCCGCTTGTCACCGGTGACAGCAGCAGCACCCGTCGTTACCGCTGCACTCTCTGCGTCGGCGTTTCAGAACCCCGCTTTGTTGTTTTCTTTAACATGCCTTCATTAAATCCTGCACCATCCACGTGGATGAGTCAAGTCAAGTTTACAGGGCAGGCTCTTTGCACGGCCAGGAAGCAAGAAGCCAGCTCTGTGGATTTAAAAAGAACTATTATTCACCGCTTTCAAGTCAAAGTGAAAGTACATGTGACCAGTCATCAAATGCCAACAGGAAATTAAACAGGACCTGTTTAAAGCGATCAGCATAATATTTCACACTTGTGTGTACTGTTTTCAAGTCAGCATGTGGGCTTTTTCCTGAAAGATCCCCCCATATTAAAAAAACCAAAGGGCTCTTGAACAACATGTAATAATATTGAAAGTATTTTCAGATTTCTTATAACGTCAGTTGTGAGAAAAGCGTCAAAGGAGCTTTTGTGATGAGTATATCAAAGTATTTGCAAAGACATTTATTACACACAGTAAATCTGAAGTGTAAAAATTTACAGTATTTAAAAATACTTTTCAATACCTTTTTTGATGTTGTTAAATTATGCATTTATACTTTTTTCTGCATTAAAGATCAAAACCATTCACTGGTATTTATTTTTTAAATAAGAAAATAAAAGTAGCTTACCTTTGGGATTAAAAGAAAATAGTGCATTAGATTCAATTTTTTTTTCCTAAAACATTATTCAACAAATATTAACAAATAATAAAGACGCAGAATAAATGATGGGAACCTTGTCAAAATGTAACCCCGCTTAAGTAAAAAGCAAAGTTTCAGGTCGAGAATAAGAGAATTAATTTCGGTGACGATTCAGAATTTGTATCTTTTTTCAGTTGCCACCAGATGTTTCACTTGTACCGCTTTTTGTCTCTACAACCAGCAGAGATAAAGAGAGAGAAGATGGTCCACCACAGAGAGGAGGATCTGATCGGAATCCCCTTCCCAAATCACAGCAGCGACGTCCTCTGCAGCCTCAACGAGCAGCGTCGCGACGGGCTGCTCTGCGATGTCATCCTCATCGTCCGAGACCAGGAGTACCGCACCCACCGCTCCGTCCTGGCCGCCTGCAGTCAGTACTTCAAGAAGCTCTTCACAGTGGCCACTACTGATGGCGGAGATCCCAATCACGCCGCGGCTGTGTATGAAATTGACTTTGTGGCTCCAGAGTCGCTCACAGCCATCCTGGAGTTCGCCTACACGTCCACGCTGACTGTGACGGCGTCAAACGTCAAAGAGATCCTGAATGCAGCTCAGATGCTGGAGATACCCTGCATCATTAACGTTTGCCTGGAGATCATGGACAGCGGTGGCGGAGGGGGTGGCGGTGGGGGTGGGAGAGAGGTGGAAGGGGAGGAAGATGAAGAGGAGGAAGAAGAAGAGGAGGAAGAGGAAGAGGAGGACGAAGAGGAGGACGCGGGGTCGAGAAAGGATGAGCACGAGGAAGAAGAGGACAATGTCAGCGAGAGGTCGCTCCAGTCTTCCACGAGCAGAGGGGAGCGGACGCCCCCGGGGATGGAGGATTCGCCACCTCCGAGCACCTCTAAGTACCACCAGCAGTTCGGGCTGCACAGGGAGACGCCCCAGTCGCAGTCTCCAGAAACCATGAGAAAGCAGGTGAAATTCAGGGGATATCATCTTGTTTTTGTTGATAATCTTATCTTATTTAAGCTCTAAAACTAATGTATCTAAAACTTGTGTTTCAGGAGAGCATTGAGACTCGAGCTCTGAAAGATTTCTCCATCGAGTCTCTCCTGCAGGAAGGGCTCTACCCTCGCATGCCAGCACTGGACAGGAGGTCCAACTTTTCTCCTCTCCTTCCAGGATTCTACCCCCCGATGTGGGCCGCTGAGTTCCCAGCTTTCCCTCAGCAGCTCCTGGAGCCAGCCCACCACCCTCACATGGGGGCTTCACCACAAACCAGGCTCCCCCACAACTTCCCTGCCTCCACACCACTCGAAGCCTCCAGACCCCTTGATCTGGCCGTAAAAAGAGAGATCATAAAGGAGGAGATGAAAGATGAAGTCCCTCCCAGTATGCTCCAAGGCGAACTGCTGAAGGAGTTTGTCAGCTCGAACCTGGACGGCACTATGAACGCAGGGTCAGTGCCAGCAGAGAGTCATCCGCTGGGTCCCATTAAGGATGAGGCAGACTTTCGGTCGTACCTGAGTTTTCTGAGCTCCGCATCCCACCTGGGTTCGCTGTTCCCCCCCTGGCAGCTGGAGGAGGAGAGGAAGATGAAGCCCAAAGCGTCACAGCAATGTCCCATCTGCAACAAGGTCATTCAAGGAGCTGGGAAACTGCCACGGCACATGAGGACACACACAGGGGAGAAACCATACATGTGCACAATCTGTGAAGTACGATTCACCAGGTATGTGGAAAGCAAACCCAACTGCTGCACATTAACAATTTGCAGTATCTTGACATCTTCATCTAGCATACAAAGAGTGTAAACTGCAGGGTTAATGGAAAAGTACCCCATGCTCTTTTCACTGAGGTTAATCTGTTTTCACCTCATCTGAATATCAAAGACGGTAAAGTGGAAAGCCCCCTCTGCTTTTGCATTAGTGGTATCTCACTTACCTACATCCTCCCACTTTGGCATAGTTTCCACTTTTATTTTTAGAGCAGAACTTTAATGTTGACACTAAAAGGAAATCATCTGTGTTGGCTTTGTTTTTGTAAATCAGTCACTTGTAAAACTCGATGACTGAAAGGGCAATGGTGTAGGATTTATGTGTTACTCTCATTTTGTGAAAGTGTGCGGTTTTCTTCTTTTCTCAGACAAGACAAGTTGAAGATCCACATGCGGAAGCACACAGGTGAACGCCCCTACATCTGCCATCACTGCAACTCCAAGTTTGTCCACAACTACGACCTGAAAAATCACCTGCGCATCCACACGGGCGTCCGTCCGTATCAGTGCGAACACTGCTACAAAAGTTTCACGCGGTCTGACCACCTGCATCGACACATCAAGCGGCAGAGCTGCCGAATCTCACGCCCCCGGCGGGGACGGAAGCCAGCTGCTTGGCGTTCAGCGCCCCCCGGCAACTTCCTATGTCCCCCTACTGCTGCGACCAACCGGTTCGAGGAGAGCAGGTTGAGCCCCGCGTACCAGGGGGTCAAGAGTCACGCACTTGGGGAGCTGCTGGGCCTCGGGAACAGAGGTCAGGGGTTTAAGAGCGCGGACGCTGCCGGCAGGGAGAGTAGGGAGGAGCTGCGGGCAGAAGGGAAGCACATGTCGGAGGAGGAGAAGCCGGGAGCTGGGAGGCAGAGGGGAGTGTTTGCTTTTGCTCTAGCTGGAGAAGAAGTGCTTACCCAATCTCCATATTATGCTGCGACCTCTAACCCCTGGGCCATGAGGCTGGAGCGGGCTCCACCCATCCCTGAGCCGGCCAAATGAACACTGGTCTGCAGAAGACAAAAGGAAAAAAAAAAGACAAAGAAAATGTCTTTAACCTCTGCATCTCATCTGCTCCAGAAAGCTAAAGCACCTTTTACACAGAGAGAGAGAGACAGCAAGAGAGAGTGACGTGTCAATGAATAGCTTGAAGCCTGCTGATACGGCAAACAGATATTCAATCAAAAAGCAGACTTCTGTCACATCTGCACGAAACAGTAGGTCAACACAGGTCTTACTATTCACATTAATGAAGGTTCTCTTCTAAATGAATGTGATTAGCAGCACCCGTGAGTACCTGCAGCACGATGTCGTGGCCGACGGCGACAAAAAGGTCTATTTCTTCATCCCCGTGAATGTTTACATATTCCTTCAAAAGAAGCAAAACAGTCTGTTTATGAGGGATGCCGTTTTCGTACATGTATATTTTTTGCATTATTTATTCAAAACGCTGTAAAAAAAAATTTTAAATTCTGATAAGATTCCTCTGAAACTGAAAAATTTGTTTCTTTAAAATGCAGAATGTAAACACGTGATCACAAATGTATAAAAAGGGGGAATTTATTGTCAAAAATGGCATTAAGTAGATTTAATTAACATAAAAGAAAATTGAAATATAGCTTAATAAATCAATAAATAACCCTTCACTGAGACAATTTCACGTTTTTATTTTAAGTCGTTGGGTTTATGTGTTGAAAAAGGGCAGCGCTCTCCAAATAAAAGCATCTATGGTGCTTGGATGCTTTAGTTGTCATCTTATAGTTTTCTAAAAATAAAGGGAGACCACTTGAAGACTTAATTAGGAGACACGATGATGCATTACGATCCCTCCACTGCCTTTATTCACATTTAAGCTCTTTTGTCTGCACTATTGTACATATGGATCCAAACTTTTTGGCCATGCTGGTGTTAATTACAGTTCTGTTGCTGATGTTGTAAAAATAAAGGAGTAAATAAATAAAGAAAAAGAAAAGCTCTTAAAAGACTATGAGAAATCCATCCAAAGATGTGTGCTTTGATATTTCAGACTTGAATAAGATTTTGTTTTAATGTTTATGACCACGTGTCTTCAGAGGATGTATATTTCTGACTAATCGATTGCCGCTCTAGCTACACGGTATGCTTGCGTTTTGTTTTTTGGGGGGTTTTTGGGTTTTTTTGGTTTGTTTTGGGGGGTTTCTGCTGCAAGAAATCAATAATTTTTTTTCCGTCTAATGTTCAGCTCTGATTCGTGTATAAAGAAGTAACAAAAAAATATTTGAATTGAAATGGGAAAGTATTTTCTTGCTATTTATGGCGTATTTAAATGAATGAGCCTTGGCTATATTTTGCAAATCTGTTTTATAAAGACACTAAATGCAAAAAAAACAAAAAAACAACCCAACTTTGCTCTTGTCTTTATTATGTCAAATGTGTTTGTACTCCTATTTTTTTATTTTATTTCTCCAGATCCAGGCAAAGGTTTCTGGAAAGCTCGGTCACATGCTAAATTGTTGCTTAAAGTTAAGATTAGCATAGGGTTTGGGTTTAGGCTTACATCAAGCAAAAGTTAGTGATTAGGTGTGTATTTGGCATAAGTGCTAGAATAACACAAGATTTAGAAAAGGCAGGCAGAGATTATAGTTGAGACAACACGGGATCACGTGTCAACGTGTGTCCGCACAATTATGGATGAATAAATAACTTTACCATCAAATGATCATAAAACGTAATTATAGAAGGCCTCGTTCAGGTCTCCACAGACTCTAAACCCAGAGAAGTTCCCTCATGTCGCACAGTTATTTAGGCATTCATTCATCACTTTTATATCAAGCAATTTAATTACCCTAACATTTAGCTACTTAAGAATGTGTTGGTGGTGGTGGGATGCTTACAAGCTCCCTGCCCAAATTTTTTAATCGTGCTATTTATGCATCATTTTCAGGAGGCACGACAGCCATAGAAGCTGCTTGTGGCCAAGAAGTTACACAATAATTTAAATGTCTTTATTAGCATAAAAAAGGCGAGCGAAATTAGTTTTATCCAGTAAATCAAGTGTAGGCTTTGTTATCTGCTATCTGCTCTTTATAATCTCCACTGCCACTACACTGTTTATTATTCACACCCACACAAACAACACCACAGAGCTCCTCAGCTGGAGCTTTTATGGGTAGGCAGCATTACTGTGATGCCGGGTTCATATCCCTGCAGAGGTCAAGCATATGAGTCCTATAGTAGTATATATAAAACACGTATTTGTCATTAATGAGACTGAAATCGAGACACAAAGAGAACATAGCAGGATGAATAGTGAACTGCACAGAGTGAGGTTATAAAAGTGTTGCTTGAGAAGTGATTGATGGATTTGTTCAACGTGTTACTGGGATGAGACATCACTAATTAACCCCTGACACAAAAACTCAGAGGCCTGCTCCCTCTGTACCAGATTAACAGTTAGATATGTTCATCTGAACTTTAATCTTTCAGAGAAAAACCCCAGGTAAAGTCAGCATATTAGAATATGTGAGCAAATGTACCCGCTGATAACAGATCACCAAAATCACAGTGCAGCTCACTCATGAATGACATTTTGAGCAAACCCATACATCCCTCGGCTGTAAAGAGATAAAAGGATCCATTATTGATTTATTAAAGTTTAATGACGCGTTTGGCATTAAGTAATAACTCATTGTGTTGGCCTTATGGTCTAAGCCTTCCCAGAGGTGTCGTTTTAGTATTTATCTCTAAATGTATGAGTAACACAGAGAAAGTACTGTCACTTTTCACAAGATAAAAGAAGATAAAAAAAGAGAACACTCAGCTCACAAAAAGCCTCTTCATGACTTCCAAGTACAAATTTCCTTCACCATGCCGCCCTCCATCGTTCTATATTTTTGCTCTGACCTCTAGTGGAGGGTTGAAGGTACTGTAAGGGGAAGTGCATCAAGAGAATATCCAAAAGTGTTTCCTTTTTAAAATACAACCTGTGTAATATTTAATGAGACTGATGTTTAAGTAAGATATCAAAACTACCGATCTTGTCTCATTTCCGCTGCTTTAAATAACTTCCACCCATGTACAGGCTCATTAAGGAAATTAAATCTCATTGGCTGCCTGATGCGTGCCTTTAAATCTAGATACAGCTTAATACCTCCAGAGGGCGCTAAAGGTTTAAGTTGAAGTCTCACAGTTGGCCTGAAGGTTATTTCAGGGGTAAGAAAAAATACAACAAAACCAGCTTTGTGATTGAATCAACCAATTTTGCAGAAATAGCGGTATTCGTTGCTTCCTTCTTCTCCTTTTTATTTTACTTTTAGTAAAATATATCTTGGCAAAAATATGCTTGAAATGAGTCACGCCTCAACAACATAAACCACATCCTTTTATACGGAGCAAAGACTCTCTACGGTGCCAGCTTTTTCTGATGTATATTTTTTTGTAAATGACTATTCACTGCTGCGATGACCTGTCCACCTGAAGAGGCTGAAGGCTATTCCAGGAAATACGACAAAGGTTAAGGCATTTCCAGTTAAAATGAAAGGTCGCTTTAAAAATAAATGAGGGTGCTGATTGAATGTGTTGCCATGGCCTTTATACTATATGGCCTTGTTTAGTCAGATTCTCAGTCCTTAAACATGCATAGAGATATTATAAACCTTTCAATAAACAAAGAGAGAGAAAAAAAGACAAACACTTGCGTTTGGATTCCCACGGCTCACAACATCCATCTGTCCATAAATACAACTTTACAATAAAATGAGGCAAAAAGAAACCTGACTCCATTCATTAAACAGCCCCAGCTGCTTTTTAAAGAAATGAAGAGCCACTCCAGAAAACACATTCAGACCCATATTTAAGGTAAACAATGGGTCAGATATGAATAAAGACAGACTCATGTGGCATTATTTATAGGCAATTACGCGACTGTTATTTCCCATCATTTCTACTGTGAATCACCTGCTGAGCACCAAGAAGGACGACAATGTTAGCGACTAACTGGTGAACACAGAGTGCAGCACTTGGACATAAATTTCCCTGAGGATTTGGTGGAAACTAAAACAGAGGAAACATGAGAATGAAGGTGAATGTGATCCTTGCTTTCAATCAGTTTATCAGAAATATAACCCCAAATGAATGCAACTGTGGCTTCGTGTCTTCTGGATGTGTAAACATGAAACTGTTTGATAATAAACAAGTGCAATATTTTTCCACTCTTCTGTTGTTCAATTTTGGAGAGCTCGTGTGAACTTTAGCCCACTATCGTTCTCTCAGCTGGCAGGAGAGGCGCCTGGTGTGGTCTTCTGCTGCTTTAACGTTCTACACTTTGTACAGTCAGAGATGCTCATCTGCACAATTTGATTGCAACAAGAGCTTATTTGATTTACTGTCGCCTTCCTATAAACTCGAAGCAGTCTGACCATATTCCTCTGACCTGAATTGGTGCTCGCTGGATATTTTTGTATTTTTTTTTCGGACCATTCTCTGCAAAGAGACGGTTATGTGGGAAAAACCCAGAGATGAGTCATTTCTGAAATACTCAGACCAGCCAGTCTGGCACCGACAACCACGACACATTTAAAGTCACTTCAAATCACCTTTCTCCTCCATTCTGACGCTCACTTTAGATTTCAGCAGGTTATCTTGAGTATGTCCACATGCTTAAAGGCACTGAGTTGCTGCCATGTGACTAATATTTGGGTTTTTTGGGTGTATACAAATGTTGATCAGAACAAGATGGGCTTTTTATGGATATGTCTTTGCAGCAAGATCTTATTCTGTGTGAATAGATAAAAAAAAGAACACCTTTTTAATCAAACAGATGTTGTAAAAATCACACTGACGCTTATAATACTGTCTAGTGATCTGAAACAATGTGGTTACAAAATGTAAGTCACAATGTAAAACGTGGCTTTATTGAAGTGTGTGTGTGACTTTGTGAGCCCCAGCCCTGCTGTGGTGTGACTTCCTGGGTTCCTCACCCTCTCTTTGCTTGGTTATTAACTTAATAATCCTCGGAGGCCTGCAGTAGTACGCACAGTGACTCCTGCTGCGTCTGCGTGTACAGTGTATGTGTGTGCCTGCAAACACACAAAGCATTTCTAATCGAACATCCTCTGAGGAAGCAGTCTGACAATGCAGCTACAAGTTGGCCACAGGAGCTGTTGAAGGTAACACAGTCTGATGTTCTCTGCGGGATTCTGAGAGACTAAAGAGGAAACGCCTTCAATACAAAGAACCTTGAAAAAATAGCTTTTTTTTCCTCAAGAACAAGGAACAATACGCATGACGTAATCAGAAAGCAGCTTACCATTCATGTCAGTCCAAAGTGACTACATGCTGTAAATATCTGGGTGCTGATAGAATTCAGCACAGAATAAATCTCATTCTAAAAGAAACTGTGTTTAAATTCTAGTCATCTAAAATCGTTGACTATAATGACTATACTGACCGTATCTGGATCAATGATGT